ATTTCAATTCTCTGTGTGTATGTGCTGTACATGTGGAAGAATTGACAATAAAGCAGACTTGAACTTGAACTTGAACTTGAGATCTAATGGCATATCACTTTACTCCTTGGCTCTTTGTACCAACTGCACCCCTATACCTAGCCCTAACACTAACCAAATTGAACCTGCTGATCACTAAAGGTGTCCTCTATGGTCCACGATAGGAACCCTGGTTTTGAGCTTGGGTAACATTATGAGCTGCACCAGCACCTCAAAAGGGTCATCATCATTCCTCAGATTTCTTCTCTTCAGGAAGCTTATGTCTTTGTGCATCAGGATTGGATTTCATGTTCAGCAACCTCTTTGAGTGGATAATACTCCTTGTGGGGAACACAATGTTATTTCAGAAGTGTGTTCCGTGCTGTCTTCGTTTTATTATGAATGAGGACATGCACGGTAAGTGTGTCAAGTGTTTGGGCATTCATCAAACTTGTGCTGCACTTAATGACTCTGCTAGCTGTGTGCACTGTGGATTTTTTAAAAGTACTTTAGAAGTATTTAAAAATACTTAGTTCTCTGCTCACCTTCTTTTCAAGGAAAGGAGGGGACTGACTACACCCCATCACTCGAGGTAAAGCTCTGTGGGTCTTTTTCTCTCTCTCACTGGAGCATGTTAACCCTATTTCACCGGTTGAATTTGCTCATAATTATGATATTATTATGTCCCAGCCCGGAAGCATGGGATGTGGTCTCTGGATGACATTCTTTTGACCACTGCTGTCGGGACTCTGAGGAGTTCAGCAGTGGTTTAGCTGCTCCCTGCAGTCAGGAGGCGCTGCATTTGTCAGCTTATACCGAGCTGTTTATCGTGCTGTGGAGAGGCTTCACATACAAGTCATGCAGAACAACTTCAGTGCTGATTGGTAAATCTTATTTGGCTGCCAGTCAGGCTGGTGTGGTGCTGCATACCATGGCAGTTCTGCAGGCCTAACAAGCAGATTTCCTTAAGGACATGGTTAATCCTGAGCTGCAGGATGAGGGAAAGCCTGGTTTTGAGACGAGATACTCTCCCCTTTGGAGAAAGGAGCCATAAAGGAAGTGCCTCATTGTAGGAGGGAGTCTGGCTTTTACCACTGGAACTTTCTAGTGCTGAAGAAGAATGGAGGTCTGCATCTCATTTTAGACTTGCATCAACTGAACCACACTGCAGGATTGTTAAGTACACGTATATTGACACTGAAGAACATGTAGATGATAGAACATAGATCTGAAGGATTCTCATTTCCACATTCAGATCATTCAGAGACAGGAAGTTTCTCAGGTTCACTTCTGGAGGCAAAGCATACCAATTTTGAGTACTTCCTTGGCTTAGAATTGCACCTTGCACATTTATAAAGTGAATGGATACAACTGTGGTGCCTCAGGGAGGGCGGCATCAGCGTCAGCAGATAATAAATTGGTGTGTTTCTGTATAGGCTTAAGACAGCCACTACAGGAGGTGTTCTCATAGCATCAGCTGTCGACACATTGTTACCTATTCAGGGAACCAAGGTTACATACGTAACTGAGATGTTTCTTTTGTAATTTCGTCTGGCTCAACTAGACATTGGTGGGTGGAGTTAGAGTAAATAGCCTTAGCCATCAAAGTGGGCTATTTGCACTTGTGTAAAAAGTGTAAATAGACACTCCATATTTTTCTATTATAACAGACATTATGCGACAAATGCTATCCAACTTTAATTGGATTGACATGGAACATTCCATTTTAGTCAACATGAAATCAAAATGGAACCTACAGTATTTACTTTCTTAATAGACTCAGTATTGTTGTTTTCTTTTCTTAAATTTTCATCAAATGTAATGACCCTCTTCACCTCTGAAATTATTTTTGTTTTCTGCTGATGTAAGTAAACCTGTGTGGCTGGTGAAAAATAGTATTAATCAATAAAATTCCATACTTACATGTTTCAATCTAATCAAATCCTGATGGATAGAATTATTTTCTCAGAATATTCAAATAACATGACGTGTTTTGAATGCTGTTTTTGGTTTTAATGTCTCACCACACTCACCTGACATGGTCCTGTAGGTGGTGTCCTGCTGGTGTTTGGGGCTTTGATTACTCTTGAGTCCTGCTGGCAAGCTGCCCTGGAGAGCTGCGGGACTCAACATTCCAGTTGGCTTTTGGATGAAGGCAGGAGTGCAGCCGATGGCTCCAGCAATGCAAGTGCACTTGTAGAGTGGGCTGGGCTGGAAGGCCTGTCCGTTATCATAGTGAGCCCCATTCAGGTCACAACCAACCCCCATCATGTCTGCAAAAATATGCAGGATTGACTATGGAGTACAAAAAAATAAAACTTAATTCAAGCTATCCACTTGTGGTCATAAGGTCAAAAAAAACTTTCCTCCTAACTAAATTAAAAAGAGGGAATTAAGTAGTACAATGTGGCCACAATTTACCTAAAACAAGGGAACAAATGATTATAATGTGGCCACAAAATAAACATTGTAGAAATGGATTCTTCATTTGTGGTCACAATATTTTTTTCCTTATATCATGTGTGTGGATTCTTATTACAGCACTGTATTCTCTAAAAACAGTTTAGCTTCTCAAGTAAATGTTCTTATTTTAAAGATGTTGTGATGTTGATTGTAACTACTACACATGGTTTTTCATAAAACGCTCACTCACAAGCACAGACGCCAACTTCATAACGCGGCTGGTCTTTGGAAAAGTCACAGTACATGCTTTTGTGAGGGTCACAGACGTCCCTCTCATTGCACGATTCCCCAATCTGCCGTGCACATGTTTTACAGCACCCGCAGCCATCCAAGATGGAGCTGACTCCAGGGGCACACGGCGGCCGCACACCACATTTACACGGCCAGCTACAGAACTGCCTCCTCTCCACCAGGCCCGTCGCTTCCCTCTGCTTCTGCCTGCTATCAGCACCCTGCAATACATGCAAAAAGAAAATAAAACCCTGGAATCAAAGCTATCATAAAATCACATTCATATCATAAAGATAGTCTCATGATTCTATCACCTCAATGGGCTAATTTGTAGTTACTTGTGAAAGAATCATTAGTATCATGCTCTTATTCTTTGGTATTCTTTTCCTTGCCATGCTCTCTTGTTTTAGTCTTATGGTTTGTGTTTAGAGATCAATGGCTATGTTTACATGCAACCAAATGATTCGTTAATTGGGTTGACGGCTTAATCGGACTGAAAAGCCTTCATGAAAACACCTTAATCGATCTGATTGAGCTCGATCTGAATGAAATGTGTGGTTTATTCCTTTTCTAATATGATTGAGAGTGCATGTAAACATTTGATCGGATTGAAAACTGAAACTGAAAGAACTGTGCATGTGCAATGATTTTCTCAAATGTCAAAAAAATCAATTCCGATTTGAAGCTTGTGACATATAAATGCGCACATCAACCTGATCACTTTTTTTATTATTCATGTAAACACTACATTCAGATTCATCAATCGGAATGAATTCAGTCTGACTGAAACAAAAGTTGTGCATGTAAACATATCCAATGTGGGTTTTTGAATGAACAATCCAAATTAGGATGACAACATAAAACTTAAAGATTAATTTATACTGACTTTTGGGAATAACCGATTCACTAGGATGATTCAAACTTTCCAAACATATGAGAGAGAGACTGAACTGAAATACCGAACTGATTCACTAGAATGAATTGAACTTGAGCTGACAGTGTGGTTGTTTACCTCCACTCGATCTGCAGTAAGATAACACAAATGTAATAATTATAATTTTATGCATTCAGCAGACACTTTTATCCTAAGTGGCTTACAGTGCATTCAGGCTATACGTTTTTTACCAGTATGTGCTCCCTGGGAATCAAACCCACAACCTTTTGCACTGCTAACACAATGCTCTACCACTGATCCACAGGAACATCACAAACTTGACATTAAAACAGCAGTCTTTGCTACAGCACTAGTTGTTGGAAACAGTACCTTGTTACTAAAACAGCTGAGCTATTCTCCAAGCTATATATGTTGTTGGGAGTGTCACAGTGATTTCGTTGTATTGTATGCCACACACTGAATCTTGCAGAAACTATGCACCAATTCTCAAGAATACATTGTTATTGTAGAAGAAACTGTCACTCTGAAAGAGAGACAAATCCGAACAATGTGGACAATTTATCTGCACGGATCAGCAACGGTGCCACATGCTGCATAATAGCAGTCAAGACTCTCTAGATCCAAGTGGATACAGTCACAAAATAAAAGTAAGTTGTATGTATTTGTAGAAATACACTTGTAAAATTATATATACACAACAAATGGTACTTTTGCAGCTTTGCTTTATCTCCACATCGCTAGTTGCCTACATTCTGGCAGCACTGATGGGGTGGACCAGTCATCTTGGTGGGCCAGTGCCATCCTGACCCTTATGTGGCCTTGTCATTACTTTCAGGGTAGGTTCTAATTTTGATAAAGAACTTCTACTGATAAAATATGTTTTAGGCCGTTTAATTCATCCTAAAATCAAAGTTGAGCCAACATCAAAATTTGAGGGTTTTTTTAGATGCACATAATTCATCTACTCTATTGCTTTAAACATGAATTGGAACCATGTGTGCAGACATACTGCATTGCGCCTTCTTCAAATTAGAAATATATGCAAATAATGGCATCAGAGGTAGGCCTACATCTGATCATGAACAAGATGACGCAATGGATTGCTCAAGAAAGAAGACATTTTGAAGAATGTTAGCCTAACATTTTTGGTTATATATACATATACATATATATATATATATATATA